GCCCCACAAGAAGACAAAGAGCATACCATATGAAGTATGGAAAAAAAAGAAACCATCCTTGAAATATTTAAGAGTATGGGGATCTTTGGCTATGGTCGCAGTCCTTAAACCTAAAAGGTCAAAGATTGGACCTAAAACTGTGGATTGTGTATTCATTGGTTATGCACTTAATAGTAGTGCGCATCGATTTTTAGTTTATAAATTTGATGTCTCAGATATACATGTGAATACGGTTATCGAGTCAAGGAACGCTACGTTCTTTGAAGATGTATTCCCATATAACAAGGTATACGAATCAGGTGATAATAATGATAATAACATTGTGAGACCTCGAGATGTTACAACTAGTGTTGATCCTGTAGAGGATGAACCTAGACGTAGTAAGAGGCAAAGGACCGCCACATCCTTTGGACCTGATTTTATGACATATTTGTTAGAAAATGAGCCTCAAATGTATAAAAAGGCTATAACGTCCTCGGAAGTACCATTATGGGAAGAGACTATCAATAGTGAGATTGAGTCTATCCTATCGAATCATACTTGGGAATTGGCAGATCTTCCTCCTTGAAATAAGCATCTAGGAAGTAAGTGAGTCTTCAAAAGGAAGATGAAGGGTGATGGCACTATTGATAAGTATAAAGCTAGGCTTGTGGTAAAAGGCTATAGGCAACGCGAAGGCCTCGACTACTTCGATACTTATTCACCTATTACAAGGATTACATCCATTAGAATGTTAGTCGCGGTAGCTGCGTTGAATGGGTTAGAAATACATCAAATGGATGTTAAGACCTCCTTCTTGAATGGCGATTTAGAAGAAGAAATCTATTTAGAACAACATGAAGGTTTCATTGTCCCGGGACAAGAACGAAAAACGTGTTGCTTAATAAAATCCCTTTACGGGTTAAAACAAGCTCCGAAACAATGGCACGCAAAATTTGACAAAGTTATGTTATCAAATGGTTTTCGAATTAATGAATGTGACAAATGTGTCTATATTCGAAATATTAAGAAAGAGTTTGCCATTGGTTGTCTTTTTGTAGACGACATGTTGATAATGGGTAGCAATAATCAAATGATTAAAGCTACTAAACAATTACTTACAAGTAAATTCAACATGAAAGATATGAAGATAGTAGACATTATCTTGGGTATTAAAATTCATAGAACACCTGAAGGGTTGGCTTTATCACAGGCTCACTATATTGCTAAATTTTTTGAGAAATTCAAGAGTTTGAATATAACCCTTGTGAAGAACCCCGTAGATTCTAATCTTAGTTTATTAAAGAACACTAGTAAAGCTAAAGCACAAAAGCAATATACTCAAGTGTTAGGAAGTCTTATGTATGTTATGAACTGCACCAAACCTGATATTGTCTATGCAGTAAGTCTGTTAAGTCACTTTACTAGCAATCCAAGTGAAAATCATTGGAAAACTATGGTAAGAGTTTTGGGATACTTGAAGTACAATTAAAACTTTGCCTTGCATTACGAGAAATACCCCGCAGTTATAGAAGGGTATTGTGATGCAAATTGGATCACCGACTCTAATGACACTAGATCCACAAGTGGATTTGTGTTCACCCTTGGTGGAGGTGCTGTGTCTTGGAAATCGTCCAAGCAGACTTATATCGTAAGATCAATTATGGAAGCAGAATTTATTATTTTAGATAAGGCCGGTGAGGAAGCCGAATGGTTTCGTAATTTTATTGAGGATGTTCCTAATTGGTCGAAGCCAGTGCCAACCATATGCATACATTGTGATAGCCAAGCTGCAATTGGAAGGGCCAAGAGCGTCATGTATAACAGTAAGTCTAGACATATACTTCATAGACATGAAGCCGTGAGACAATTACTCTCGAGTGGAATCATTACAATTGACTATATAAAGTTTAAAGAGAATATAGTTGATCTGTTGACCAAAGCGATTCCTAGATAGTTGGTTGGGAATTTGTTGAAAGGAATGGGTTTAAGGCCTATCAATTATTGATCATTGCGGTAACTCTACCTTGATGAGTGGAGATCCTGTGAACTAGGTTCAAAGAGACAACTAAGTGATGTTCGACTGTTAAAACATTGTGGAGTTTCTAAACTCATACATATTCCTATGACAAGACAATGCATTTATGAGGGTAAGCATTTAGGCTTTTAATGATTTCTTAATCTGATGTGTTCAAATGATATATATTGAGTTACATCACAAGGAATCATCTGTGTGAGTGTGAAGTGAGGGCTGCTTATATGAGAAATTTTTAAAAGCTGATTCTCTAGAATACTCGCAGAACTAGGCTGGTGTACCACGGCCAAAATGGGCACAACAAAGGACCAACAATGTTAGAGAAGCAATTGTGTAACTCGTATTGTCTAGGTGTACACAAAAGGTCGACGATTCAAGTCGCCATGACCATCGATTGACCGAGCACATCCGATAGTTTTCACTAGGGAAGGTTCAAAGGTAACCCCTACATATCTCGATACAATTGTTTCTCATTGAGGAAATGTAGTTTGCATTCATATTCATTTGCATATATTCACGATGAATTGGCTTCTTATCCATGTGGGGGATTGTTAGAAATTTAAGTATAAAAATGTTCATGGGTTAAGGATAAGAATGGGTTTGAAAGAAAAAGAAAAGAGGGAAGATAAAAGGATGTGTAGGTTATAATGAGTCTCATATTGGACAACTAATAAGAGGTGAGAAAGTATATAAGCTCTCACCTCACACTCCTAAATTCCCCTTTAGGGCACTACACATTTTTTGGAGGGGAGATGAGCTAGGTGACCTTTTGTCCACAACAAACGCACGCCTCGCCGCTGCCGCTGTCCGGCCAGCTCAGCTCGGATCAGTTCGGTTCGGTTCGTGTGTGTGTGTGTGTGAAATAAAAATAATTTTTATTAAAATTGTTCTATTCATTTTTCGTCCAAAATACCCCTGTTCCTATTCGTTGCTTCCCTTCGGTTTAGTCAAACCGAAGGGTTGCTTCCTGCCATTTTTTGAACCGAATTGATTCTTGCCTTTCGGTTCCATTTTGAATTGAACCGGTGCATTTGGTTAAATTCGAATCGAAGCGGTCACCGGTCGCACTGCTTGGCCACCGTCCGACGCGGCGATTCGCCGGCTGCATTTCATCGTGACTTTCCAGCGTCTATATATAGATGCTCTTCCCTTCAGAAAAATTATTAAATTTTCTGCATCGTTACTCTGGCGGTTTATTCCTTCACCCATGCAGACATCTATACATCCATGTGATTCCTTAGACATTCTGTTGTGTTCATTCGGGCTCTTGGTTGATAGTTGTCATCATCCTTGAGACGCAATTGGTTCTATCTTGGAAGACACTTGTTCATCTACCTTCGGCAATAATGAGGGAACAAATTTTCTTAAGAAGACAACTATGTTGGGCTCGGATTCCATTGCATACTCTTATTTCTTTTTTCTTATATACTATGAGTTTGTTCTTATATTTTCTTATTACACTTGATTGTTATTTTCATATTTAAATTTCTGTCATACAATCAGATTCAAGTCTTTTGGAGATTATTCATCCAATGTCTTCCACAACATTTTATATACAACAAAATGAGAGGACTTGAGGAGAGAGAACTAATTATTAAAATCTACGATATAATTTTGAAAGTTTAGAAATAAAAATTTAATATGTATTTATAATTATTTTATGTTTAATCATGACGACTGTGAATATTTTTAATATATAATATTTTGATTATAAATTAAATAAAGTTTATGTTCTTTTTGTATTCTATGATAGTTAAATTTTATTTTATTTACAAAAAAAAAATTATTTAACTCAAATATTTGAATACATATACTTATACTTTATTCTCAGTCCGTGCCAGCCACGAATCTTTTTTTAGGTCTTTTAGGTCTTCTATCTTAGGCTAAAGCACCATTTTTGAACTTTTGAGGAAAAAGTATTATCCAGTTAAAGTTGATTGTATAAATTTTTTTAAATTTACGTAGTCAAACTCGTCACTGATATTGACGAGACTAATCCCGACATTGATACTGACAAGACTTGTGCATGTCATGTCAGCGTTATCGTAAAATTTTGAAAGGCTATAACTTTTTATTCAGGTATTCAAATCAGATATTTTTTTATTTCGCATAATTTTTCTAGATCTACGTAATGACACATCATTTGACACACTTTATCTCTCACAAACATAGTTTGAATTTGCAACTATAGTTTCACAACTACAAGATCATTTAAATCCAAAAGATCATGAGTTCTTTTTGATCTAACACTATGAGGTGCCGCATATGCCATCTTCTGGATTTAAATGTTCTTGTGATTGTGGTACCATTGTTACAAATTTGAATTATGTTTGTGGGAGATAAAATATGTCAAATTAGGTGTATTGCGTAGATCTCGAAAAGTTATGTGAAATCAAAAAAAATTTATCTGATTTGGATACTCCAGTCAAAAGTTATGACTTTCCGAAATTTTACAGTAATGAAACTATTTACGTGATGCTGACATGACATGAGTCCAATCAGTATTATTAACGGGACTAATCTCGTTAATATCAATAATATATTTGACTGTATTAATTTAAAAATATTTATTCAATCAACTTCAATTGAACAATTATTTGGCCCAAATATTCTAAATTGTAAATGGATTTTATTTTTCTTATGTTGCATGAGACAAGTTGTCTCATGCAACACACAAAAAGTGGGTGGGACTCATTTTTTTATTTTCTCTCTCTTCTTTTTTAGTGGGTCCCATTCACTTTTTGTGTGTTGCATGAAGCAACTTGTCTCATGCAACATAAGAAAAATAAAACCCATTGTAAATTGTAGAATATTGCTTTTCCCTTCTATCGTAATGTAAAAGCAAAAGCATACTGAAACCGACATTGGCTCTAGTGGTTCTTAAACATGCCACATTGCTCCAGAACATTCGTTTAATTTTTTTTATTATTTATTTAAATTATACAACCGCGTTAATTAACTCCTCTAGCCCTCTTTAAAGTACATACATGTAACCTTCTGTGCCATATAATAAATCTTGTGGTCTCTTGTCTGCCATCGAGTAACATTCTCAACTTCGCTAGTTTCAAATGGCAGTTCCACCAGAGATGGAGCATCCCAGAAAGGCTTTTGGATGGGCAGCCAAAGACACATCTGGGGTTCTGTTCCCTTTCAAGTTCTCAAGAAGGTACTCTTACTCTCGTATGTGATCTCATGTTTCATTTTTCTGTTCCCTACCTGTAATTTAGGAATATTTGATTGTTGGATCACTTGGGTTACAAAACAAAATATAATAATGCTGTTTATGATAACATGTTAGAAGTGATGTCTCTACACTGATATAATAATTACTTTAACTGTGGTTTCTTAAAACGAACCATCTTTGCAGGGAAACAGGAGAGAAAGATGTAACGTTCAAAGTGTTATACTGTGGCATATGCCACTCAGACCTCCACATGGTGAAGAACGAATGGGGCAATTCCACTTACCCCCTTGTGCCAGGGTATGCTTAATTCTATATTAACATTTTCCTTTTTTTCTTGTTTTTAACCTGTTGTCACAGGTTACTTATTTTTTAAAGGATTAAATGTTCAAATAGATAATATTTTCTTTGATCTTGATTGTTTTAAAAGAGAAGTTACCGTTAACTTATTAATTGTTTTAATATGTACTAAATGATCTCCCGTAATTTTAATTATAATAATTAATTCAATTTAACTTTTAATATATAACCAATAATCTCGGGTGATTTCAAAACAGTACACGTGGTTAACTACTAAAGCTGAAATTACATGTTATTTATTATATATTGAAAATATAAGTGAGATAATTGTCAAAATTAGAATAAATTTTACTTGTCACATATTAAAAATTTAAGTACTAACTGAAATTAAAACTACATAAAGTACTTTTAGAATGACAAAATTAAATGAACAATATGTATAATCATGATAATATCCTGTTCTACTTCTTGATGTTACTCTTGTTATTATTCTATCTAGGATTGATTGGTGATTATGATGTTGGACATTATAAACTAGATACGCTGTGTCAATTCGGAAAGCAGTCTAATAGGATAATATGTTTTCATTTATTAAAGACCTTAGTTTTATTCCGAATTCACTGCCCTGTTTTCAGGGCTAGTCGAATCAAAATTATGCTTTTGTTTATCAATAAAAAATCTCTAAGTGTCTAAGCAATATGGCATAAATATATTGGATTCTAATTTGAGTACCAAAATATAGGCATGAGATTGTAGGTGAAGTAACAGAAGTGGGAAGCAAGGTACAAAAATTCAAAGTTGGAGACAAGGTGGGTGTGGGGTGCATGGTTCAATCATGCCGCTCATGCCAAAGCTGTGATGAAAGTCTTGAGAATTACTGTCCAAAAATGATTCTAACCTATGGTGCAAAGGATGTTGATGGCACGACCACATATGGAGGCTACTCTGACCATATGGTTGCAGATGAACACTTTGTGATCCATATTCCAGATGGTTTACCTCTTGATGCTGCTGCTCCTCTCCTTTGTGCTGGGATCACAGTGTATAGCCCTTTAAGATATTTTGGACTTGACAAGCCTGGCTTACAATTGGGTGTGGTTGGTCTTGGTGGGCTTGGCCATGTAGCTGTTAAGTTTGCTAAAGCTTTTGGGGCTAAGGTGACAGTAATTAGCACATCTAGTAACAAAAAGAAGGAAGCCATTGAACACCTTGGAGCTGACTCATTTGTTGTCAGCAGTGACCAAAATCAGATGCGGGTAACTTTCAGAAACACATTTCTTTTGTTGTGAATATGTACATGTGAGAAATAGTTTATTGATCAACTTTTAATGTGTATTTTAGGCTGTAATGGGCACCTTGGATGGTATCATTGACACAGTTTCTGCTGTCCATCCTCTATTTCCTTTGATTGGTCTGTTGAAGACTCATGGGAAACTTGTCATGGTTGGTGCACCTGAGAAGCCTCTGGAGCTACCAGTCTTTCCTTTACTTTTGGGTAAGCATATGGAAAATAATACTATATGTTATGTTTTAGTAAAGAGTCCTTATGCAACGCAGAAATGAAAGAACTCGGTTTTGATAGAGATTTTACATCAATTTTTGGTATATTAATTTGTATGTAACAAGCAAAAGGATGCTTTAGTGGAAAATGCACTGCTGAATGATTTGAAAGATTGTTGGAATTGAAATGTGAATTGCAAATATTGTAATTTGTTTGCAGGGAGAAAGATGGTAGCTGGCAGTTGCATTGGAGGAATGAATGAGACACAAGAAATGATTGACTTTGCTGCTAAACACGATGTAAAACCTGACATTGAGGTTATTCCTATAGATTATGTGAACACTGCAATGGAGCGCCTCCTCAAAGCAGATGTGAAATATCGATTTGTGATTGACATTGGGAATACACTGAAGCCAAGCTCTTAAATTTTCATGATTCATGTTTCAGATAATGAATGCAGGGCAAGAGGATAAGGCTTAGAGTTTATTGTTTTAATTAACCATCGTGTCTGTCTTGTGTAGTGAGTATTTGATTTGATGTGCCTTTCTTGACATAGGAGGGGCAATATCTTTGTGGTCAGGGCTTTAATCGAATAAATAGCTGCATGTAGGGCATGTAAGCTTGGGTTAAAATCTTGTTTGGGAGAAAAACATTTTATATAACATATGGGAAAATTTCTTTTTTTTTTGCAGAAAAAAATTTCTTTACTACATTCATATTAAAGTGAGTGAGTGTTATTATGAAAAGAAGAAAGAAAAAATTTGTGAGATTTATTCAGTTTTTATACGAGTGTGATATATAAATATTTTTTGCAACAAAAATAGGAATGTTAAACTCATTATATATAAGAAAATAAATTGTATGTGAATTTGGAGATTTGGAATCGAAGTTGCGGTCATTTGTTTAATGGAGTGTTTTAAAATTTCTTTCCACCTCGTGGGTTGACTTGGGTCAACCCTAATCTCTTTCTTCTAAGGGTTGGGGTTACAAGTTAGATTTTATATGCATATCGACTCCTTCGATCCCCAAAATCTGGTAGGGTTTCAGTGATTCCTGAGTCATAGGGGTCAAAGAGGATCATTGCATGTTTTTTTCAAAAAAAAAAAAAAAAATTCATAAAACAACATTGTTTTATTAATAAAAATGCTTACAAACTTAAATCTAATTGTTCTCTTCTCTCCTAGCGACCTAGACGTTTTCAATTTTCACCTCGATGCTGTGAATCTTTTAGAAAATGTAAGAATTTAACTTATTCAAATGAAATCCTTACGGTCGTCGATGGAAAATAAAAACTTATTCTTACTTCCTTTAAATTTTCCTTTGTCAAAGACATTCTCAAAAGAGGCAGAACCGGGTCAGCGTAGTGATCCCATTAGAATATGATTTTTGTACTTTGGTATCTTGATACTTTAATTAGGTTGCATGTATAATATTGACTTGTGGTTGTAAGTGGTGAATTATATTAAGTATATTTTGAGTCTTTGATGATTAGTGATTTGTTTTATAATATTTTTACGAGGGAGGTTATACTTATTATTATTTTTTCTTACTATCTCTTATTGCCAAATATTAACCGTTGATTTTCGTCAATCTAACGATTATAATTCATTGGGTCATATTTATTAATTAATTATTAATTTCTAATAAATTATAACAGTTAGATTAGCAGAAATCAATGATTAACATTTGGTAGTAAGAGATAGTAAGAAAAGAGGTAGTAAGTATAACATCTCCCTATTTTCATATAGGATATATATATTTTTTAGTATATAAAAATCGGGTCAGCGTAGTGACTCCGTTTCCCCACGATTGAACTCGTGACCCCTGACCTCGGCCGAGTTGGATTTTTAAACTTAATGTGTAGAAACAACCTTTTCCAATATATACATATTAATTGGAGAAGTATTATTTTTAATTAAAATGCAAGTTTTTGAAGAAAAAAAAAAGTCAATTTAACCTGACGGTTGAAAAATTCTAAAAAAATTATCTTTTGACACATATAATTGTGTACATTAAATTAAAAATGTCATTAGAAGAAAATTGCATTTTTTTTTATAAAGCCACTGCAATATCATAAAAATCTACTAGAAAATGTACTTTCCAATAACCTATCGGAATGAATATGCCAGAAAATGCAATTCTATGGATGCCTCAAGAAATTTCTGATAGAGACATTTACTAGAATTTTTTATTGATAAATGGGAAATTTTTCAAATGGAATTTTCTAGCGTATCGTGTTCATCGGAGACTTCTGTTTGGAAAATTTATTGGAAAATACATTATCGAGTACCAAAAAGCAAATTTAGATTTGATAGGTAAGATTCTTTTGACTTTTAATAATTGTGATATTCTAATCACAAAATTTCTAATCAGTCGATTAATCACCGTAGATTAAGATTTGACAGGTATTTTTTTTTTTTCGTTAATTGATTTAAGTGGATAGCTGTTTGTTTTTCGTATATTTATTTTAGGAGATTATCGAAGACTTGGTCTTTTCTCTTTATTTTCACTTGGTTATAAAAGAAGAATGGTAAATTAGTGCTCGATATCTCATTACTTCATCGATTCTTCAAAAGCATTCAAAAGACTTCCCGTTAATTTGCTCGAGTTCATAACCACCTCTGTGATTGGGAAATTTTTTTAGTGTTATGGATGCACTGAATTTTTGGTATCTTACACTCACAATGTGACACGTATCTTAATTTTTTTTTTTTTTTATCAAATTACTCTTTCACCTGATTTTGAAATAAATTATTTAATAATGATTTGACAAAAGTATAACACGTATCACATTATGAGTAGAAGATGCATTGAAAATTCGATGTATTGGTAACACCAAAGATGTTCTTGATTGATTGATATTATTTAAGGGAATGTGAATGTGTGTTTCTCGTTATGGTTATGGTTATAGTTGAAAGTTTGTTTCATTTTTAATTTCATTACACATCATTTAAATGATAATAGTATAATAGTGCGAACTTATTTACATATTCAATCTCATTATCTACTTTCGCAAAATTCTATTTGCTTCTTGTTTGTTTAAGCAAAATTAGATCATGAAATATTTACTTTTTATTGGATATCAGAGTCAATGGTTTGCGTTAGGCTAGATGAGGTTTCTCTTGAACTATTCAAAGAGATTGTGTTGGGAGGAAGCATACTAAAATGGTGTTTCATCATTGAGAGGGAGATTATTGGAAATTCAATGATAGAGTCCCACATTTGTTGACAATGGATTAAGTGTGGAGTATATAAGTATGATGACCCATATATTTAATACTTAATAGTTATGAGTTGAGATGTGGTGTCAAACTCACTTATTATAGTGTATTGTAGCTTAGTCTATGAATGATGGTCTATCTGCCATAGGCGCACTCTGGTCATGTAACAGTGGTATCCCCTATCAGGGTTGATGGTTCGAGTTGGGCTAGCTATGTGTTTGACTTGAGACAACTAGAAATGTGGCTTCTATAATCAAGAATGGGATAAATTGAGTATGGTAATTTTTTTGCAAATGCCCATTTCTTGTTTCTAAATTACCTTATCGTGCAAACTTTTATGTATGAAAGACTTATCAATATATTCAAACAACTCATAATACATAATCTATTAGAATGATACAATATGTACTAGTATATATTAGATATCAAAGAAATAATTAAAGTGTTAGAAATAAAAAGTAATGAACAAGGAGATTGCAAACTCTATTTATCCTTGTTTGGTCACCACTACTGTTACTAGGGTTGGCAAAATGGGCCAACCCGACTAGACCTGGCCCAACCCGCATGCAACCCGAAAAAAAACGAGTCGGGTTAGGGTTGGCTCGAAAAAAAATGAGCCAGAAAATCCAACCCAATCCGACCCGAGTCGGGTTAGGGTTGGCTCGCGGGTTAGCTAAAAAATATGGCTCGTGGGTTGACTTGAAAAAATAGCTCGCGAGATGACTCTTTTTCAGCCTATTTAAATGAACATGTAGTATTAATGTCCCAGCTATTTGGCTTCCATCAGCTTAAACAAAGGGTAACAAAATGAGAAATAAAAACAAAATATTCTAGATTCGAATTTTTTTCACAACAAATTTGCACCAACATGAAGAAACAATCAGAACCACTTGTTACCAAGTGGGTAAGATATTTGAACCAAACAGAGTCAGCACAGCCTAATGTAACACCCCGTATATATCCGGTTTGTTAACATGTCATCGTATTAAGCCACGCTTAATTTAAAAAAAGAGGAATAACTTTTTACTTTCAATTATGACGTCATTATACATAGCCAAGTTGATTACTTAGTCATTTTCATAAAAACATCACCTGTATGTAATTGCAATTCAACATTAACTGGAATAACTCATATATAAATAACTACGAGTATTTAAAATCACGGAACTACAACACGTAGTCCGGACATAATCCCAATACATTATTACAGCTCAAATCTAAATTTAGACATCGTCAATCAATGTGGCATGGACAATCCTCATGCTCACCAAATAGGGCAACATAGTCAAACATAGTCTCAACAACAGCAACATAATGATAACAAGCTAAAAGCATATCATCAGCAGATATAATCCAGCATCCAAACATGTCAGCATATAAACAACAATATCAGCTAAGCTTCGGCCTCCTGCCGCTAGAGAACTCAACCCCCGCATTACCTGAACCTGAAATGGTGCCCCAAACGTGGGGTGAGATCTCTAAACAGAAATCCCAGTAAGACAAGGGGTCCTCAAGGATCTTCCACCCCAAGCTCACTTACATGTGCAATATAAGTTCAAAAGGCAATATAATAGTATAAGTTCCAAAACAGTGCAATGCAGCAAATAATCATGTCATATGTGTTATAACAATTCTACTGATCAGAGAAGTGCAGGAATCCGTCTATTCCGACACAGTACACGCCCTTGCTGTACCCGCCTACAGGACCACCCCTTGGCCTCCTGTAGGCGTAACACCACATATATATCATAAGCAATTGCGCTTAACAGCTCATTAGCATTTCAATAAAACAGTACATGAAAACACATCATGCATACAACCATCCCTCCATGGGACATGGTGGAACCAACAATGGCTAAACCGAGGACACGAAAGCTTACCTTGTAAGCTAGTTATCCAAACCAAGAGTCCACACAAGCTCAATGCCCACAAACAGTACAATCACAATCTATTTATTGTAACATCCAACGTAATTAGGGAAAATACAAAAAATATTATAAGGCATAATAATGCATGTGTGAAAAGTCGAACTACATGTAACGGTTGTTTGGTCTTCGAATTATCCGGTTACTAGTATGGAATTAATATTGAGTTAGGGAATTTACTTGAATTATAATAGGTGAGAAATTATTTTAGGCATGTGAAACCTTAGTTGAAAGAAGTAAAAATAAATTAATAGTAACTTATATAAGGATTAAAAATATTTAAAAGACATGGAAACTTATAGACTAATGGGCTAGTCATAAGACAACAAAAGTATTGGACTTAAATATTTTGGACTCACACCTCATGTATAGGTCGACGGCCCATGTGGCTTGGGGAGGGTTTTGATTCAGCCCTAAACCTTATTTATCTTAATCTCACCCTAAGAATCCTTCTATGGCAGCCCTTGATTGGGTAGTAACCACCACATGGCAAACAAATCAGCCAACCTTACCCCCTTGTATCTAGCGCCACCTTGGGCAGCAAAATCTGATGACTTGTTGTTTTAAGTTAAG